GTTCGTCTCCATTGCCGTTGCCGTCGCGTCCTTCTCGTTCACCATGAACATGGTCTTTGACCACTTTCTTGTCTTTCTCAACGAGGACTTTGGCCTGCCGTTCAACAAGGCCACCTTCTACATGTCCGCCTTCAACCTCATCGCCCTCTTCTCAAAGCTCGGCGTCGGCCCGCTCGCGGATAGGTGTAACAAGGCAGCCCTCATCCTCTTTTTCAGTATCATGGGCATCGCAGCCTCGTGTATGCTCCTCGACGTGTCCGGACTCACCTTCACCGTCACCTCCAGCCTCAGCAAGGTTATCACCTTTATCGTCTTTTGTATGTTCCACACACCACTTTTGTCCCAGCCTCTGCTACCTGCTCTTTTTTTTTTTTTTTTTTCTTTCTGCTGACTTGGTACCTTCCTTTCTCTGCTTCGTTTCGCCCTCTTCTCAGACGCCATCGCGTACGCCGCCATCTTCAGTCTCACCACCTCAGTGCTGCCCGAGTTTGGAAACTCCAAGCTCGGTGCCCGCTCCAACTTTAACCTCATGCTCCTTTACTCCACCGGCTCGCTGGGCTCGCTTGCCAGCGGCTACTTGCGCTCAAACTCGGGCTCATACAAATGGCCCTTTGTTTTGAACATCATTGCGTTTGCCATCACCGCCGCCGCCGCCATGGTCAAATACTTTATCTACGACAAGAAGATAATGCCTTCCGCAAAGCTTCTGGCCGCTAAAGGGCACACGGAAAGAGTACATTCTGCATCATCTCCGTTCGCATCCTTCGATTCTGCTCTTCTGTCTCTTGTTCTTACCGACGTTGTCTTTCTCTCATCCTGCTGTGTTCGATAGACAAACTGATTCTGTACTATTGTTGTTAACTGCCCCGCTGGACACAATTCTGCATTTATGCAGGGGGCATCAGCTCTGCGCAGACGCAACGTCTCTTGGTCAGGTCATGTGGAGCGTTTTTTTCTTTCTTTCTTTTTCTTTTTTCTTTTTTTTTCTCTCAAAAGCGACTTTGCAGACTGCAGTCTTCAAAGTACGCCCCAGCTTCTTCGCACCGGGGGTTGCGCTCCAGCATCGCTCAAGGCATGAACAAAGGCTGCTGACGATCGGAAATGTATCGTGAACAACATCAAGAAGATGAAAGGGTCGGATGCAACGCAGGTGGGGGATGTACAGTGCGCACTGAAAGTGTGAAGACACACATGCACACATGCGGACGGTGGCGTTTCCAGACCCACTTAGAGCACCCCTCTAGCTAGTGGTTGAGTAAATGAGTAAATTTTTGATTTTTGGAGATAGATTTGGTCACGAGCAGCTCTACCCTCAGGGCATCTCCACTGGTTGGTGTTTTTTGGGTCTAATGATCTATGGCCCATGAATTTTAGACCCATTAGACAATTTCGTCTCCACTCGTTCCAAAAAACACTGGGTCTATCCCTACCAAAAAATACCGTGGGTCTATCGCAGGATCTATTCAGACCCCGAAATAGACCCGGCAATAGACCCGATCTATTCGCCACGTTGCACACGTGAAGCACAAATCTTGGCATTTCTCGTCCTGCCTTTCTCGCCACCGCCGCTCCCATCCCCTTCGCCTGGCCTACGGATTATTTCCAGTCATACGGTTCCCGCGACATTTATGTGCTACCCAAACTGCCCATGGCCGTCCTTCACTGTTTTGTGACGGAAAGAGCGCGCGAAGGTCTTCCATACTGCACACACGTACACATGGAAATTCATTTATCAGGCATGACAGAGGTACGCACATCTCCTCCCCTTTCTTTTTACTAACATATCCCTCCTGCTTCTCCTGTTTGGCCGTTATCGGAAGGGGAAAGTCATGGACGCCCGTTGAGGACGTCATAGCATGCAAGGCGTACATGAGGGTATCTGAAAACGCTGTAACTGGATCGTCGCAGCGGAAAGGAACTCTCGAAGCTCAGATTGCCGAGCGGTACAACGATTTAATTACAAACCATTACGAGCAGGGAGATGTGCTACTACCTCTGGAATCACGTTCCGGTTGCTCAGTCCGGCAAAGATTTAAGGATATCAAAGCAGCATGCATGAAAATAGAGGCAAACATGAAAAGGATTAAGGCAGCGATGACCGGTAATGTCACGGATTCAGATCATAAGCGAGTTGCTACAGCTATGTACAATGGCCAGGTAAGTTCTGCAACAGAAATGTACTTGTACTGTTCTCCGGATCCCGTCGAGCCCGTTCGATCTTTCCCATTTCCTGAAGCTTGGAAATTTTTGTCGAGCACAAGAATTTGGACATCTATCGATGAAGTGAAAACCAAAGCCGAGAAGCGTAGAAATGCTCAGAAAAAGCGAGCAGAGGCTGCTGCAGCAATATATGATGAGGAGGGAATCGCGATAGAAGAGTAACAGGAAACAGGAGCACCCGAGGTGCAAGTGCCAGACGCTATCTCTCGACCTGTAGGCGTCAAAAAGACGAAGAACATGAGCAATGCACTACGCGTCAAAAAATAAGCAAACAAAAAGCTAGAATTTCTAGGAAAAGTGCAACAAAGAAAAGCAATCGTTGCAGAAAAGGCTTTGGTACTAGCGAAGCTGAGAGAACGACGAGAATTTTTTCGAGCGAGGGGGTGAGCGCACAAGCAAGATTGAAATACCTCCGCCTTACCGAAAGAAAGATGCTCGCCGATTTGGAAAAGGACTTGGACGAAGAGTTAAGCAGCTGTCCAACGGAAGCGGCTTGTTATGGTGAGGATTCGAGTTCTGCACACGCATTGATCGCAAATGGGGAAGAATTTAATCATCCCGATGATGATGACCCGCTTCCAACTGAGATACGTACATCGTATGTCTCTGGTGATTACATTTCTAAGCCGGCTTCGAGGCCTCGAAGCATGCAGATGAAAGATATTCTTAATGAGACATCTACACATTGCGGTCACTGAGGGAGAGTCACATTTTTGTGACATACATTAAAGCTTTTGCAAGTGCTAACTGCTGCGACTTATTCCCAGGTCGTGTTCTGTCTTACTTTGCTCTGTGATAAAAGAGACGAACACGTTCATATATACTGCGTTGTACATTACCAAGGGTACTGTACTATGTGGAGGGGGATCCGACGGGCCGGTCTCGGCCTGCTCCAGGAACGTCGTAGGGGAGCTCTAATATTTTCGGGTGCAGCGTACAGCGCCCTGTGATTTTAGAGGCGGTAGAGAGTGCGACGTAATTGAAACTGTGTCAATCAGAGAAACCCAATCCCTGTGCAAGACGGTCATTCAGGTTCCGTATTAGCGTAAGATTGCCAAATATGCGTGATTAAGGCTTTTGTGAGCGCCACATGCTTGGCATAATCCCCGCGATTGTGCCCTGTCGACCCAATTCTAACTGCAGACGTAAAGCACCCTGTACCGCCGTTCTCACCATCGGCAATTGGCACGATGACGGACCTAGAGTCGGCAGCTATCAGAGCGTCAATCTCCGCATCAGATATCCTCACACCTCCGGTCCCATCGCCAGAAAACCCTCCTCTGCGCTCTTCGACGATCATATTGTGAAGTATGACACAGGCAGAGACAATTTCCTCCATATCACTTGCGCTCCAGAGCCTCCCGGGGGAGTATAAAATATTCCAGCGAGCGAACAGGACCCCAAAAACCCGTTCTACTGCTTTGCGAACTGCCTCTTGTTGCATTCGAAACATTTGCTTTCGCGGATTTTGTGTCTCCGGCAAAGTCTTGACAAAAACTTTGTAGTTCGGATATATTCCGTCAGCCAAGTAATAGAACCAGTCAAACCTTTTTTCTGCAATTACACTTTCCACGCGGAAAGGAGGGTAGACTCCGCTTAAAACCTCTGCAAAGTGCGGGCTGACATCAAGGATGTTGATGTCGTTCATGCTTCCATGGTACCCAAAGGCACAATGCCATATCCAAAGATCCAAATCGCAAATAACTTCCATTCCTAGTGTAGAGACTTTTCTTTTCCTACGTTATGACCTTGATGTGCCTTTGGTGCATCTTTCCAATCCCACCCTGCACAGTCCACACATCCCATACAGCCCGGAAATCCTACCTGTGCAAATCGCGCTTCAATGCGCTGAAGGTCTACTTGCGTCGGCGCGCGTAGGTATTCAATTCCAAATGCAGAAACCACACCCCGGCAAAACTCTCGGAGCGACTTCAGAGCGGTAGTCTCACTCATTCTGCAGTACTCATCCACAGCGTCACCTGGAATGCCGTAGGACAGCTGCCTCATGGAAGCAACAACCTTTTGCAGCGGATGGATTCCTTTTCGTCCTGTACAGTCCGAAGTAATCCCCAGTCTTATGTAGGCGTTTCTCTCCATGACACCGTCGTACACGCGGAGAAAAAGCTCTTTCGGCATTCTGAACCTTCTTTCGAAGAGGCCAGCACTGTAAACAAGACCCCGCTCTCCCGATCCATCATCCCTCATGCTCCGCTCGTCCCAAAAGTAATCCAGCATTATGCGACGATGCCCACTCGAAAAGTCTCGCAAGACGTTTGGACTACGTCCAGGACGGGATCCGCCGTGCTTTCCGTCATTCTCTTCGTTAAGCTTATCATGTGCTACAATAATTGCGACAGTATCGACAATGTCGTCGTCACTGTCATGCACGAGTTCGTCTAAGTTGAAATTCATGGTCGTTCTGTAGAAATACGAAACTGGCAGTTAGAGAGAGGGGCGGGGGAATTATGAAGGGAGGGGGGGCAGGCGTGCGAGACCAGAAGATCGACCATTAGACCGTCACTGGTGGAGAGGGGTCCCTTTTTAGCTCCATCTATCAATAGCATAGACCCGCGGCCGAGTGCGGTTTAATTTTTGACTGGGAGCCAGTTGTAATTCTCCACCTGGCATTTTGGACAAATACATTATATCCCATAGACCCTCGCCAGTGGAGATGCTCTCAGAGCACCCCTAGTGTATAAGCGTACAGGGGCCTCATATGAGGCCACAGTCCTCATATGAGGGCTCGCCTTCCATCTTCCGTAGCGCCCTAACACTTACGTGGAACCACAATACGTCCTCAAATATAGAATTCCGGCCCTTTTTCTCAGCCTGACAGCCATGAAAAAAGAGAAGGATCGCATATATGTCCAGGCCATCTCTCCCTCTCGAGTTTCCCTTGTCCACACAACCCCAATTTTTATCGTTCGCCACAACCGCCAGCATCTTGTTTTTATCATGGCCATGATCCCCCCCTCATCGCAGGCATCATGGTAAATGCAAAAGCCACTACCGTGACCAGTGCATGGCATTGTCAGCGCCTGTTTGGCGCTGATTGGAAAGACGGGTGGTTTCAAGGGAGAGTCATACGTGCCGTTCAAAAATCAGAACAGAGGAAGACCAGAACTATCAAGAGGTGATATGTTACTGTGCTGTGGGCGGTGTGTATCAAACTGAAAGACAAAGAGATGCTCCTATGCCATGTAAAGGCCGGACCTCATCCCATCCCCAAAGAGGGTATCCCAGACAGGGAAATAGAGGCACCATTTCCGTATCATATCTTGAGTGAAACAGACGCAGAGAGCATCGCGCCGCCAGCAACGAACAACGCCGGCAAACCGCCGACGCAAGGAGGCTTGAGTGATTCTTCTCCAAACACGCCGTCAGCAGATGGGGCAGGGCCGTCAACACATTCGTCCAATGTTGAAGACACTGCACAGCCGATTTTTGGATTACAGAATGATGTACTCGCGCCACAAGTTGAAGCTGCATATCCGGAGTCTCGAGAGAAATCCCAAGCGCCACGGTCTCAGGAAAATGATGTTGCTGCAGTAGCGCACGGACAGGAATGGAAACTGGTCAATGGGAAAGGGACCATAAATAAGCGTCCCCCGAAACGGGCGTGGAGTGTCACGGGGCCGAGTGGTGTACTCATTACTCGCCGCATAGCGCCGGCGCACCTCGCTCCCATTGATTACTTTTTATGATGTTCCTTGTAGTATAACGACCGGTGTGCGCGCGGGGAGGTTATTACCCGTGCGGCCGTGCACGGTGCACACGTGGGCGGGTGTGCCCACGTGAAGGGAGCGCGCGCGTTGACCAACCGGCCGTGGCGTGGCGCACGTGTACAGTAGCTCACCGGTCGTCCGTGCGGTAGTCTGTAAGCAACACGCGTGTACAGTAGTGCACACGTGTAGTGGCAGCGTCCGTGCATTAGTAGTAGTTATGGCGCTAGCTTTTTAATTGTGTACAGTACCCGGCACG